GAGAGAGAGAAGAAGAAGAAGAAGAAGAAGAAAGAAAGAAGAAAGAAAGAAAGAAAGAAAGAAAGAAAGAAAGAAAGAAAGAAAGAAAGAAAGAAAGAAAGAAGAAGAAGAAGAAGAAGAAGAAGAAAGAAAGAAAGAAAGAAAGAAAGAAAGAAAGAAAGAAAGAAAGAAAGAAAGAAAGAAAGAAAGAAAGAAAGAAAGAAAGAGAAAAGAAAGAAAGAAAGAAAGAAAGAGAAAGAAGGCTTAGAAGAGGTGGACACTGCTAATAGATAGCACATCAGATTTGGGTTACACATTCTTGTGGAAGAATCTGTATTCTGAGCCTTCCCTTCTTTTTGGGCTTTTTTTCTGTAAATGCATGCTTTCCTCTTCTTAACTGCTTCTCCTGAATAGGTCAAAATGAAGAGATCCTGCCCTTGCAGTTCAGCAATTTGTTGTTCCAGATGCAGCAAAACTCTACATATTTCTATAAATCTCTAAAGAAGTTTTTCTCCTTTTGTAGCGGGGAAGCCTTACCATTCTCCTGTGTGGAGAAAATGGCCTGGTTATGGCACTGGAGCAGGTCTTCCACCATGGTTTCAAGTCTGCACGTATCTTCCATAAGAATGTCTTCATTTGGGACTTCATAGGTAAAGCTTTGCCTCTGGTTCAGCTGGGCTCTGTAGGGTAGAGATCCCAATGATACTATTAGGCCATCTCTGAGTGGATGGTGGCTAATTGCTGAGAATAGCTAGGACAACCCGACTGTTAGTCAGCAGCTGGCTTTGCACATTGTGCTGTGCTAAAATGTGGGTTTGACTGGTTAGTGTTTGGTGTGAACTCAGTTACTATAGTAGGCAACCACAGTCTTAATGCAGAGATGGATCATCTTCAGCCTCCAGAACTTCATTGGTGGTCCCCAACCTCCCAAATGTTGGTGAAGTAATTTCAAATCTTTTTCAGGTTATGAGGCTTTTAAAGGTGGGAATGATAGCAGTTTGCCTCCCATAGATCTCCAATCCTATTTTTCTTCTTACCTACCCCAAGGCCAGTGTTAGCATTGCTCCTTCTGATGATGCCATACCACATCACTGGATGGCATCCAAACCTCCCCTCAAAAATTCTCCATCCCTGGATTAGCATGTTCTGTAAATGGTTGTTTATCCAGTAAACCAGGATTAAACAAACGGTTGCTAAGCATTCTTAGCAACTTGCTTAAGAGGTGGTCCATCTCAGGCTGCCAGTTTAAGTACCGCTAAAAGACAGCAGTTATATTTTGATATTTTTACCATTGGTGGCTATTGAGGAAGAAGTGATACTTTGGATTTTTTGAATCAGAGTCACCAAACTAAGCTATTTCTAAGCTAATGCAGGTGTTGCTTTCCCACTGACTCCTCTGTGTCATGGTTGGGGTATCTTGCCACACAGTTAACATTGAAAATGAAAGAGACAGATGACAGAGGCATATGATTTAACTATTTTCCATACTACAGCAGGAACGTCTCCATATAACTAAGATACCCTGTGTCATAGCTTCCCTTTGTTTAAACAGGTCTGCCTTTGCAGAGTGATTCTTAATTTACAGTTCTAGTGTCAAGTAAGAGAATGCACAGACTATGTCTTCAGTAGATGCCTTAAAGGCAGTAATTAGCTCTAAACCCATGGCCACAGTGTCTTAATACATTGGGAATGCATTTAAGGACCTAAATTAGCTGTGGCTCTAGCACTGACTTAGCTATCATTCATAACACCACTCAGTATCTAACTGCAAAATTGTTACTGGAATTTTTCCTTACTTAGTAAGTATTTGCACAGTGTTAATTGCCATAAACAAGTCTTTCTTAATGCTGACTTGCTGGCTAGGTATTAGAAGTAATGCTAGAAGGGATGTCACTGATCACTGAACTGTGCTCAGCTGCATAATTGCATAACTAATATACATTGCAATCTTTTCTTGGTTTGAATTGGGTGCAGCACTTCCGCTTTTAACCTCTAAGTAGGTTTACCTTTCCTATAGGGGTAATGTCATTAGTCTCTTCTTATGAACTTGCGAAGGGTAACTTCTGCCACCAAATTGACAAGGACCAGATTTCAGTAATGAAGCAAAATGTTTCTGGGGGTGGCTGCCATTTTGCTTCAACCAATCCTGCTTTCAGACACGTATTAATATGGGCAAGTCCAGAATAGCTGCCACCATGAAAAAAATCTGCCTCCTTTCTGATTTTTAAAAACATTTTTATTTTACGAGATTCCTATGCTGGCCCAGTCATAAGACTGAAAGCATAATGAAATTGTAATGAAAGCAAAACAGTAAGATCATAAAGCAAAACACACAGTAAAATCATATAATAGAAATAATAAATACTAAATAGATGCAGCCGGTGACATAATACAGCTACAGCACTGCATGACCCACACTTTACGGCCTTTAAAAGAGCATTAAAAACATGGTTCTTCCCCCAGGCCTTGGGTTAGTGTACTTGGGGTCTTTTTGTCCACTTTCATCTCTGCTGGTGGGGGACAGGGTTCTTGTTCCCTCCAGATGCTATCTTTGGGTTTTATTTATTTTTATATGATAAGCCACCTGGAGTCACTGGAATTGGGCAGGCTAGAAATTTCATAAATAAATCATTCCCCACTTTTAACGTTTATTCTGGGAATGAATCTTTCAATAGCTGCGAAATCTGTCTGGCCCCCATGCTGGTTAGTGAAAAACAACATGATAACAAATCCAACCACTGCAAAAACAAGGAATTGTTATAATGGGGATGAGTTAGCTGTGTGGGAAAGATAACTTACTCTCTTGGTCACTGGAGATGGCGCCAACAGGAAAGGGTTAACTACTTCATGAAGCTCGAAGGCAAAGCTTCAAACCATATTATGGCACAAAATTATGTGTCGATCAGGTCAATGTGCTCTTTCTTGCAGCCTACTTTTAAACCTGCAATAATAGGAAAAGCTTTTGTTTGAATGCCTTGAGAAAGTCCAAGTATATTTTATCTGAAAATAGGCTGAAGGGTCTACTTAGTCTTTCTTGGAGGGAAGGAAATTTTGAGTTAAGATGCAATGTTATGCCTATCTGCTCAGAAGCAAGCACCACTGAGTTCAGCGGGAATTATATTTTGTGCCTTCAAGTCATTCCTCAATAAATGTGTTGGTTAATTGCAAAAATTCAGAAAGGCAAGATGCATGTGGCGAAAGGCAGGGGGCAGGGACACTATTGGAACACGATTTCTCTATAATCCAAGCTGCTAAATGACTTTTCTGGATAAAATAGCAAATTCAGGGACTAAGGCTGTTCTGTATTTGGTGAGTTTATATTCTCTTTTGTCCATGTTCAGAAAAGGCTGTTGCCTATTTCGAGATGACTGACCAAATTGGAGACAATGAAGACAATGTTCTTCTTCAAAAATCCTCTCACAAAACATTTTGCCACTACGTCAATGCCATCAATACTGCTCCGCGGAACATAGGGAAGGACGGCAAATTCCAAATTCTTGTTTGTTTTGGAACTCGGTATGTAGAGATTTAAACATAAAAAAGCATTTTGAAATGAACTTCACCATAAAAAAGTATGGTGGCTAAGGTGTTGAACAATGGAGGCCAAGGTTTTCAGCCTTGGTAGCTGACTGGGTGATCGTGAACAAATCATTCTCTCTCAATCCACTTACCTCATCGTGTTGTTCTGGTGGTGAAAAGTTGGGGGAGGGGGTGCTAGGCATGCCACCTTATATTCTTGCAGGATGTGAGTCTTTCTAATAAGTATACTATTTTCTTAGTACAAGCTGATGTCACAACTAAGACTGATAGTGACTTGCTTAGGACTTCTATGGCATCACTTGAATTAGAATTTTAAAAGCAGGATTTTTCAACTTCTACAGATAATTTATTTCTGAATGTTTTATACTAACTTCTGTTTGCCCTTTTTTTAAAAAAAAATCATTACTTGTATATGGAGGGGCTGTCAGAAATTGTTGTAGCATTTTAATATAAATGATCAGTGAAGTATTTTGTTGCCTTAAGGTATCTTTCTAGGTTATGTAGACCTTATTAGGAAAAATACATTTACATTTACATTCAAAAACATAACCATCCCATAGTTCGTGTGACAAGTACTCTTAGATCCAGGAAACCCTGTTCTTTCAAGGAAAAAAACCCAGCTGTTCTAACCAGGTAGATATAAATACTCAAATGCCTTCATTTCGTTGAGAGAATTAAGAGCTGAGTATACTGGTTGGAAAAATATTTCTTGTCACTGTGACCAGATGTAGCGAGCAGAGGGACAGGAGGAAGAGTTGTGACCAAGACAACGTCAGATAAAAGAAAACTCAGTCCAGGGTAGGAATGTAACCTGAGTAAACATCCCAGACAGGACCCTCCCTAGTTCTCACAAAGATAGAGGGAGGGGGGAAGCACATTCAGACTTGCAAGATTCTCTTCCTATAGCTTTACGATAAAAGTAATGCTGACCTACATGACGTTGGATTCCTAGTCTGATCTACCTTGAAGGAGTGATATCAGCAGCTAATCCCTTTCTGCCTTGTAGTATTGGAGGTACCAAAATACAAAAAGGATGGATAGATAAGTAATACAAAAAGTAGCATTTATTGGTAAAACATATGCATTTCAGCCCACCACTAGGTTTTCACATGCTGCATGAATATGTTATTAGTAAAAACAGCAGAATAAAGGGACTTCCAAAATTGATTCCCTAAATCAGGGTTCCTCAACCCTGGTGACTTGAAGATGTGTGGACTTCAACTCCCAGAATTCCCCAGC